CCTACCCTATAAAGTTTTCCGTTGCGTATTTGCTAAGACGTTTTGTATATATGTAGCGATATAGCCTCTACATATGCAAGGCAGTCAATTTGAGGGAAATGGTTTTCTCATTTGAACTGCCTATCTTTCACATGCATTTTGGTCAGATGAACGCGCCTGACTGTAGAAAGGTTGAAAATATTCAGGAAAGTTTTACTCGAAGACAATTTCCTCATGCTGGATTCAGTATCCCTTGTATGGAGAGATGTTAGTTAGCTAACAACAAATATTGGCATGTAAGAAGACCCAAATCGGGGCTCTGCTTCCTGTTTTGCGTTACTGCTAGCCCTTATCGCCCACGAATTAAATTTTTCACTGCGACAGATCGACCTTACGCCATTAGTAACCTCTCCATTCAAATTTCACAACCACTGGGCTCCACATCTAATTTTTCTGAGTTTTTAGCCTCCAAATATGCTTTCATTTGAAATAACCTTCCTCTCAATATAAGGTGGCCGTCTACATTATTGATTTCGAAAGCAAATCAAATAAAAATTTAAATTGGGAAGATTTAAGGAATTACTGACCGTTTCCTTCGTAAACACGCAACTTTTAGACGTTGAAATGGGTCCTCCTTGTACTTGAGGCTCCCCTCATGATAGTTAATTGGTTCCGAAAATTGTTCGAAAATAGAAGACTCTGAAATTTGAATTGATGGTTATCAGGTGTTAAAACGTGGCCAAACAATAAGTAGAGACGGTGGATACCATTGTATACAGGCCTCCAAACCAATCTATGGACAAAGATCGGCTATTAAACACTCGACTCCGCGAGGTGAGTCGGAGAAATGACAGTATTATTATAGGAAGTTTAAATGCTCCGTTTATTAACAAGGATCTAATGAATAGAAAGGGCCCTAGGCAAGGGTTCGATCATATGCTATTGGGCATGACACTTGATGAATTCTTTTTTCAACATGCATGAACCATGACTCGAATGCATGAAGGTCAGAGATCTAGGTGTCTGTATCTGCTTTTTATCAAAAGCGTGGAAAGTGTTGACGAAATAAATGTAGACCCGCCCCTAGTTTCTTCTGATTATATGTCATTTATGTGGGAATCAACACTCGTAGCTGTCCCTGAAAAAAAGCTAAAAGCCATTAAGAAATGTCCGGTGGGGTAACTTTGAGGCAATGAAATTGTCATTTTGACCTACAACATGGAGGGAATTTTTCCGAGGGCATATTGTAGCGCTGGCGCTAAGCCCGCAAAGCGCGCGTGACTTCGCTACTCTACCTTTTTCTGGACCAGCGAATCGCCAGTGCCGTAGACTTCTATTGGCCAAGTAGTTGATCATGCACCCGGTGACTCACTCCCACATGACGTTTATTCACTTACGCCCACAACACACTAACAGACAGACGCGCGCGTGCAGGGCCCGTGGCCTGCCGCGCGTCTGGGATTCAGACCACCACTGAGTTCCTGTTCACAATAAACAACACCTGCTGGTCTTGCCCTCTTCTTCCTGTACGAAACTGGGCGTGATAATTGTAGTACTCTGAGCAGACTCATGGCTTAGACTACTACAATATCAGTTAGTGTTGAAATATCTTCGAATCTAAAATGAAAAACCTGATCGAACTGTACTGTCCTCCTAAGAAAAATATTCGACTGGCAATAGACCAAAATGGCTGACAAAAGCGGTAAATAAAGGCAAAAAAGCGAAAAAAGCGCAAACTGTGGAAATTATCTATACAAACGGAGAACCAAGCAAAAATTCAATAATTTAGACAACTACGCTACATATGAAAGTGACTCCTCACAGAAGCACGAGCCTAATACGAACGGCTCCTTGAAGAGGCGCACCGAAAACCCAAAGCATTGAATGCTTACGTCAGATGTTCTACAAAGAACCGTGACTATCTCGCAACCTTAAAAGACAAAAACAACAAAACTGTCAGCGGTGGCCCGCAAAAAGCCGAGCTTCTTTCAAAATTTTTCCAAAGTTTCTTTAACGCATACCAACATCTCCAACCCCACCCTCTGTCTCATATCGTTAACAACTCGATTATAAACACTGTATTATTTACACCGCAGATAATTTTGGCGGAGTTAAGGAAGTTAGATCCGGCCAAATCACCTGGACCGGATGAAATCCCTTGTGTACTTCTACGCGAACTATCTGAAGAATTTGCGGAACCACTCTGTATAATCGTTCGAAAATCGCTCAAAGCTGGTAAACTACGAAGAAGCATGGAAGTTGGCAAATGTCGTACCCATCCATAAGGGAGGATCACGGATCTATCCCACCAACTACCGACTGGTCATTTTGAAGTGCATCTGTTGTAAGCTGATGGAAAATTTAATTAAGAAAATCGATTTTATCGCTCGATACCTTTTGCCGCCAAATCAGCTCCGTCCAGCATGGTTTCTATGAGAAGAGGTCGTGTCTTACAAACCTCATCAGAACGCTAGAACACTGGACAAAAGCCGTGGATGAAGGACATCCAGTAGACGTTATCTACTTTGACTTCATCAAGGCGTTTGGTCGCGTTCAACATCAGTGCCTCATCCAAAAGCTGTTCGACCTTGGGATAGCAGGGAATCTCCTGAACTGGATTGAAGATGTACTGGGAGACCGTAGCTAAAAGTTACTGCGGGTGGCTACTTTTCAAAGTGGACACTTGTTAAAAGTGGAGTTCCACAAGGGTCAGTTCCTGTGCCGCTCCTTTTCAGCATCTACGTAAATGACATCGATCGCGAAGTTAAATATGGCAAAGTAGTCTTTGCAGATGATCTCAAACTGTGGATGGAGATAAAAGACGAAAGGGACTCCCAAATACTGCAAGAGGATATAAACCGGCTGCACTCTTGGGGCAACAGTCGGTGTATGAACTTCGACCCCGAAAATGTGTTGTAGTGCACATGTTATCATCAAGACGCATCGGAACTGCACTCCCGCGACAATGCAACTCTTTGCCAGAGTCTGTTGCGCATTCAACCAGTGTGAACGTGTTCAAGAAAAGTCTGGATAACTATCTGTTGAAGACCAACACTCACCCAACATTAATTAATAAAAATAAACATACTACTCGCTTGCTTTCAGTAGGTTTTCATTTCAACTAACGGCGTCCAGAAGAATATCTCATACTGGATATACAGTGAGCTTTTTGTACACTGCCACTCCGCAAACGCCTCCCCTTATCAACCATTCATTTTCCAAAATATTTTATGCATTTTTGAACAGCAAAAGCGCCCTGTAACATTCTTTGTATATTTCACTACACTTTATGCATTACTGTACCGTTTCAATGGAGTTTTCAAGGGCTTCGGTCATTTACTCCAAATATACTGACTGATGCTGACCGAAATATGTTTACATTAGCCTCTGCAGAGTCAAGCTTCATTTTCAAATAACGCCAACCCTTCTCCGTTTTGCAACCTTGACGGTGGTCTTCAAGGTCTCCGTTGTTGATTGTCGCGGGTTCTTCTGCCTTCGCCAGCTGCTAAAGGACTCCGCAGTCTGCTTGGTTGTATCTTCGGCATTTCGATGATGTTCTCGCGACTTTTCCTGTTCTCTCTTCGGTTCAACTCCTTTCTCCCCGCTGGGCTCCCAGTTGACCATGTCGTCCTCGATTAGCTCCAACTGTCGCATCCTCATTAGGCTATAGGACACTTTCATGACAAGGAACGTTCCGAATTCTCATATGTTCTCATCAACATCAGAATCCAATTATACTGCACCATTGCCACTAAAATTGCAAATTTTTACATAAGCAATCACATTCTTAACTCTTGTCAACATGGCTTTTTAGCAAACTGCTCCTGTGAAACATGCAACATGTCTTTTCTAAATCTAATAACTTCCCTTTGTAATGATCATTTAGCTGTGCTAGTTATCCATTTTGATTTTAGTAAAGAATTAGATAAAATGCCCCATTTGCGACTTCTAGGCAAACCAGAGGCTACAGGAGTTCGTAGACCTCTTACTGATTTTAGTACATCATACTTACATAAGAGAGAACAAAATGTCTTGGTGGGGTCCTAATGCGGTGTCCTTCGAGGTACCGTGTTAGGCCCCCTGTTGTTCTTGTTTTACATAAATGATATTTCATCGACAGTTAAACACTCTCAATCTTTTATTTATGCACATGAACCCAAGTGTGGGTATTCTTTCTCCTTTGAATTTTGATGCTCTTTCTGCGTGGAACTCCGCGTGGCAGACGGAGTTCTCAGCTTCTTAGTGCCGGTAAATGTGTTTTGGGTCTGAAAGTCTGCCACAGCCTGTTATTTTTCAAGGTTACCCAATTTCTGAATGTTACAACATCAAGGACTTAATAATAATAATAATATGTTTATTATGCCAGTTTACAGGCAATTGTAAAG